AGAGACATTCTGTTAGGAGTCTAACATACGTCCACAGCAGAACATCATACTTCTAAACATCACAACGATCCCTCTGATACAACATGTGTTCACTCGTGACATCGTGAGGTTTAATCAAACGGTGTCTGAGACGTAGCTCAGCCTTCCCCCGTGTTCCACTTACTTTGATTCACTGTGAATCTGCACAATTTCCCTGAGATTAAATGGTCTCCCGGTCTCCATGGAGGAGTTGGATTCCACAGAGACGCGTCTCTTGAAGGGCTCCCAAATGCTCTGAGCCTCCAGATACGCTGTGGCGATCACCAGCAGGAACATGGAGCTGAGGAGATGTTCACAACAGCAGACTGTTAGTCCAGCTGAAACACTAACAGAATATATAGCGGGGCTGTGTTTGAGGCGCTCACCTCATGATGAGAGACACGATGACGTAGAGCTCCAGCTCCCAGCTCGGTCTGGGCAGAGTCTCTGCACAGGCGCCCAGCATGTGGTAGGGCAGCGAGGCGTTCAGGACAAACACAAACTCTGAGCCTCCACACGTCACCAGTTTCAGCTCCCGGATCACTCGAGACGAGGTGAAGTCGGGTGTAAACCTGAAGGCATCGAGGGGAAAAGTTGAAGTTTAAACAGTAATATAATATAAAACCTTCATGTGGTCTGTGGATTGTGCCTTAAAGAATTTTGCATGATTTGCCAGAATAGTTTCTTTATGCGACATATTTGCATGTTCATGTTGTTTAGAGGAGAGGAGAGGAGGAGAGGCTGAAACATGTGAATAGTTTAATATGTATAACATGTAGAGACTACATTGTTACACTTGAAACATGTTGGATTTATAGATTATATTGTTTTCTAATTTTTATAAAATAAATGATCAAAAACATTCTACTTGTGTTTCTTCTTTTTAATGATTGATGTCATCATAACTGTTATTAAAGACATGTTCTAGTTCTCTCTGGTTCTATAGAGATGAAGGACTTTAGACCAGAGAGGAACGTGTGAGCGGAGAGCTTCTGGGTTCAGAGGACACCTGAACTCTCAGTGAATAAAGAGACGACTCACAGTATGATGAGGTCTTTTGAAGCATTGGGCTTCAGTGCAAACTCGTGACAGTTCAGGACTTTGAATCCGTATCCTTCACAGACTTGTCCGTTGATCTCAGCCGATCGGATGGTGATGGTGAGCAGACCCGTGTTCTCCACTCTGAACGTCCTCTTCAGAGTGAAGTTTGGCTCCTTGACTTTTACTTCTGAGAGGAAATGAAGAAATAATAATGGAACAAATCAGAGTGTGTTAACCTGCTGTGCCCTCTGTGGGAAATATGAATGCAACTGTGTAAGTATACCTTCAATGTATTATAGTGTTTATATGTATTTCATTAAAGGAACTGTGGGTGAGAGAATAGATTACGATATTCTTGGAGACTGTAATCTTACAGTTAAAGTTTTCTTAACTTAAAGCCCCACCCCCTCCTCATTCAAGTGACTCTGGGTGAACGATAGGAAGCATGACGTCTACACAGTTTATTCTAGAAGCTGAGTTCAAACCTCCAAAATACATTTTTAAAAGCTCACTCTCTTGCCAAAATATGCATTAACAGACAGAACGATGACAAAACTCCCAAAACGTCACCAGGGAGGCACAGAGGTTAAATCAGATGGAGTATATGGTATAGGCTCACTCTCGGTGCAGTCCTTCAGCAGAGCCTCCGTCACCTTGAACCTCAGAGAGCTCCCGTGTCCCGGAGGCTTCCCGGCTACTTTCAGGCTCTCCGTCGTTCCTCGACCGTGAAGTAAGATGGTGTCGATCACAGTCAGGTTGTTTCTAAACACGTTCATTGAGGAAGAGGGTCAAACTATCAACACATAGATATCAGCATCAAACTTCCACACAAGTGTTATGTTTCAATATGCAAATGAGCACATTTTCATACATTTCCAGAACATAAATGTGAACGTTGGATAAAGTCAGGTTCAAAATGATTGTTTCATGTTGTCAACATATTAGAGTCTTTAAAAGTGTTTACATTTATGATATCTCTTTATATCACTCCATAAATCAGAAAACATCCATTATCACCATGTTGTATTAATAAATGTATAAATGAGTGTGTGAATGATGTGTGAACAAACCCCTCTGTGTGAACCTTCAGCACACAGAGAGGAATGACTGAGTGAAGTTTGGTGAATGTAAGAGCTGCTGAAGTGGAGATTTATCATCAGAGTCTGAGAACAAACTCATTTAGAGGAAACGTCCTTTAAAGAGACGTTTAGTTCCATTACAGACATTTAGAGACTCTACAGGTGAACACATGAACTCATAGATATCACCATGAAACTTCACCACTTCATCACTCACATTAAGAAGACTCTACAGGTGAACACATGAACTCATGATATCACCATGAAACTTCACCACTTCATCACTCACAATAAGAAGACTCTACAGGTGAACACATGAACTCATAGATATCCCCATG